CCCGATGGCCCGACCCGGTGGCCTGGCCCGACGGCTGCCCGAGGCCCGCCACTAAGGGGCCCACATGAAGGGTCGGACCGACTCAGCCCGGCCCGACAGCAGCCCAATGGTCCGGCCCGACGACAGCCCGATGGCCGCTCCCGACGGCAGCCCGATGGCCTGGCCCGACAGCAGCCCGATGGCCCGGCCCGACAGCAGCCCGATGGCCCGGCCCGACAGCAGCCCGATGGCCCGGCCCGACAGCAGCCCGATGGCCGGCCCGACAGCAGCCCGATGCCGGCCCGACGGACAGCCCGATGGCCCGGCCCGACAGCAGCCCGATGGCCCGGCCCGACAGCAGCCCGATGGCCCCCGACAGCAGCCCGATGGCCCGGCCCGACAGCAGCCCGATGGCCCGGCCCGACGGTAGCCCGATAGCGGCCGCTACTGGATGGAGCCATCTGCGATACCCGTCTGATGGATCTACTGCTGTCCCCGCGGGCATTACGGCCATCAATTTAATTAAGGGGATAGAGCTGAGGGCATTGATCCGATGATCCCATACGGCCGGTAGGTAAGCCTGGCACTTGTTAGTAACCTTGGGCATGCAGGCTCGACTGGAATCGGAGTTCACGGTATCAGGCCTGCGTTCACCGGGCTTTCACTGCGCTGGTCAGGCATAATGAACTCAGTTGAAGGAGTCATCACCGTCCGGCAATGTGCCGCAGTTCAGCGATCCTCCCTAAGGATGAAATGGCCCGTGGCACACCCATTCTACGCCCACAGCGTGATGCGACCGCGAGCATGGTGGCTGCGACCCTGGATGCGGTCAGTCAGCTGGAAGCTGTCCCGCGCTCTGGCACTGCGATTGGTCCGGCTGTCAGTGCCGGACCAATGTCTACCGGTGTTAGGCGGCTTGAAGTGATGTCACAGCTGTGTCGTTACTAAAACAGTTACCAGTGACGAACGTTATCCATAAGAAACCTCAGTCAACGAGCAAACGAGCGTTTTCACATCCTGAACGGAAAGCTCACGGAAAGCCTTGTCCCAGGTACAAACTCTGCCAGAACGAGAATCCAGTTGTTTTGAAAGCTTCAGCGACGGGCCGGACTGAAGTAAACTGTGAGCCTCCGAGCAAACACAGCCGCCGGAGGTGCCACGCGCGGACCTGATTCGACTGGGGACGCGCAGCCAAGTGTTGTCCGTCAGGACCGGCCGACCAGAGCTGCGGTGAGCACGGCATTGAGCGGCGTAAGACTCAGCGGGGACGGAATATGTTATCACTGCATCAGCGTTCGGACCTGGTCAATGTAGGAGGAGCCGAGCGGCAGATGTTTCTCAACGCCGCTTAGGTGAGACAAATTCGCCCATCGGGAATCCAATCGGGGATTCACTAACGCCTCTTTTGTGAGGCAAATTAACCCGCGCCCAGCCGGGGGTTTGAGACAACCGGGAAGTTAACTTCCCCCTGGGATCTCCAACTTCCAGACGCCGTATAAATCAGCGATCAGCGGTTAAGACTGCAGGGAGTCAATTCCGACCATTTCTAATCCCTTACACGGGTCAGGTCAGATAAGCCATTGCTCATAATTGGTTTACGTGATGCGGTACTTTTCTTCACAAAACAGTTTCTGACGGATTTTCTTTTATGAGGTGCAGCTGTGAGAAAAAACATTCTAGACACCGAAATACTATTTTTGCAACAGCCTATAGTTTATCTGGGGTCAGCCTAGGTAAAATTGATATGCAATCCAACAGACAAATCTTCAGCGCTAATCGGGTCTACATCACCAGTACAATGTTTTTCTATGATTAAAAATCGTGTATTGCACATCTACAAGCACTGAAGATCGCATAGCTGTTGCCTTTAAAATACATAGCCACTTAGACGCTTGAAAATGCATTTATAAAGCTGAGAACAGGCACGTTGGTGCATGTGTGTTTATGCCTTTCCGCTAATGGCAACATAGACATAAATCTTGGATGACCTCATATGACCTTGCATGTATTCATGCTACTTACTGTGGCCTTATTACGCACTAGAATGCTATCATAATATGCGTTCAGTGAATTATCTGAATTTTTCTGAATGTTTTGACCTCAGCGTATGTTTTGTAGAATATGCAAATTGAGATAGGTCATGGCCTGGGCCAAGGTCATGTATCCTGTGATCATGTTTGTGATTGCCCTGAGACTTTGCATGTAAGTCAGTACTCTTTTCATCATATACATATATCAAAACTATGCAAAAATACGTACACATTTCCATTATTTATAAAAAATGATGGGCATTGACCCGAATTCAGATCACTGACCTCGCAGATTGTAAAAAAATGAAAGATAAAAATTGCCGATACTATGATGTTCTTTTACTATCATAAGTTTGAATAATGTCAAATGACCCCTAAAAAGTAGTGTGTGGTCAAAGTTTGTTTACCTTTGATCTTTTTTATCTAACATAAGTCACTGATCTTGGGAGATTAATTTTCACAAAGGACACAACAATGATAGATGAAAAGGTACTGAATTTTTCGCGCCGCTGGGAGCGTTCGTATTTCACCTGTGCTTGGAAAACCGTAGGCAGGGAAGTCAACCTCCCGCTGCCCGGCCGGGAGCGAGTTAAGCTGGATGAACGTCCGCTGTAAAATGATCACTGTTTTGGCGTGCTTTGCTCTAGTTTGAATACGGTAATGTACGCACCTGACTACGGAGTATGAATGCATTCATGAAAGCACTAAGAAAAGAAACACGGGATACAAAGACATGGTATGTATACATGTATATATATATATATATATATATATACATATATAAATACATATATTATGTCATTTTGCTACGAACCGTGATCGCGGTAGGACAAAGCAAGTTAATGGCACAAGAAAAAAACATTATCTTCAATTTCACATCTTCAAATCATTAGCTTTCAATTTGCGTCACGTCAAAGCGACTACATCTCTTCCTTAGTCGGCAGCATGGCCGCATTGAACATTTAAATGCATTTTGCAGCCAATTCGAAATGACTACAATGCAACCTTCCGATGAGATTCTGTGACGCGCGGATTCTGCGAAAGAGCCACGCTTCACAGGCTCACTGCTGAAGACATGGTGACGGCGTTACCACCGAAAGCTCATGGGCGTCGTCCATGCTTTGTTGAGGCTGACCTAAGAGGCTTGGCGTTAGCTATTCATCCGAAAGAGCAGTGATGGTTATCGCTGTTTCCATCACGCTCACGCCGGTTTACGCCTTACTGGCGGCGTGATCTAGGGCCGGGGGTTCTTCCCAGGCATCTCGTATTTCTGTCGCGCTGAACTTAAGTCGGTAAAACAACTGCTTCTGCTCTGCTATCGTAACATGCCGCCGTGACCGTTCCTGAGCGGAGCCATTCGAACGTGTCGCCAGCGTCGCCGCTCGAGGTCGTCCCATCACGCACGCATCGTCATCTGGAGCCCTTTCGGCATGCCAGCCGCCTGCTATGAATGTAATCTTCATCTGGCCGGCCGTTTTGCCGCCTGGGTGGCGTATGACGAGCCAACGGGCGCGCCTGAACGATCCTGCTCGCGACCGGATCCCGGCCACTCCGTCGCTCAGACACTCACCGGCTCTGGCACTCAGACACTCGCTGGCTCTGTTACTCAGACACTCACTGGTTTCGTCACACGACCGCTGTTTCTGTCACTTGGACACCCACTAGTGTCGTGGCCCCGGCAATTACAGCATCCATCACGAGACACCCATCAGCCCCATCTCTCACAGACTACCCCTGTCATGGAGGCACCCAATGCCGCCGTTTCTCAGAGAACCGCTTCTTACGTCACTCAGACACGCATCGCCTTCGTCATGCAGCCACCCACCGCCTTCGTCACCAGGCACACGATTGCTCCGTGACATGGGTGCTGATCGCCAGTCAGACACTCACTGCCCCTGTCAGCTAGACACTCACTTTCCTGTCGACCAGATGCTCACTCCCCTGTCAACCAGGCACTCACTCCCCTGTCGACCAGACATTCACTCCCCTGTCAACCAGATGCTCACTCCCCTGTCAACCAGACACCCACTCACCCTATCAAACAGACACACACTCCGCTGTCGACCAGACACTTACCCCCCTGTCAACCAGACACCCACCCACCTTGTCAACCAGACACTCACGGGATGCGCCACCCACACATGGCCCGGCTGTGAGCTAAGCTGGCGGTCACCTGATGACGGCGATATGTGTCCACTCATCGGGTGGAAGGGCCGTGAATATATCCGCAGCCCTCCCGCGGCGGGCTCCATGACGGCGGTACTTCTCACGAGGCCCTCAATAGCTCCTTATGCTGAGCTACGTCTTATACTGCGCCGTTGAGCCCTGCGGCCGGCTTTAGCATGACGTGTCTACCGACGGGCTCCGCCGGCAGCTTGTAAAGGATGGCCTCGGCAGTGGTCAGAGGGCAAGGCCGGGTCATGACCCCGTTGCCCTCCGCCGGTGATATTCACCGTCCACCGGGCGGGAGAGCCCGTGCACGTTCTAAACCACCAAGCGCCTGGACGGTACGTTGCTATCGAATCGAATCCGGCCGGGGAGATGAAGGGGCATGCTCAAGAGCGTGTCTTCTGTCACCGAAGTGCCTCTTTAATCTTCTTTCCGGCCCATCTGAAGCGCCCTGGGCGGCCCAGTGCGCCGTCGTAAAATCTACCGCTGAACGTGTGTGAAGAACGGCCGTGCAAAAAATGAAATGGATTTGCCTCGAAAATAGATCCACAATGCTTTATCACGTTTTTTTACCATTGCGCTGGTTTCTTTTCTCGACACTTGTTTCGCCAGGTAAAACACGGATACGAACGGATATTCACTAGCATAGTACCAGGGTAACGCATTAATTACACGAAACCAGAATGTACCTTTCCAAACACAGGACGATGCAGCCTGCGATGGCCAAGTCATCCTCACCTCTGTCCTCACCGCTCGCACCTCTGTGCTAACTTCACTGAGCCCGGCCATGTCCGCCAGCTCGCCACGCGCGAGAATACTCACCGACGACGGTCAGATTAACCCGGGCGTTGAAGGTCGGCGAGGTGCGGAAGTCGGCACGGCACCGGTACACGCCCTGGTCGCCCTCCTCCACGTGCTTGATGCGCAGCAGAGGCGCCTGCGGCCGCGGATCGAACTCGGAACGCTGACCCAGCGAGTCCTCGTTGGCCCAGTGGGTGCCGCGCGTCGATTTGCGGCCGCGCGTGTCGTAGCTGCAAACGGCGGAGACCACGATCGTTGGTGTCATTGGGTCTTGGATCGTTGTAACCAGTGTCAGAGGGTCTCGGGTCATTGTCGCCCGTGTCATCGGGTCTAGCGTCGTTCTCACCATTGTTCGCATTCGGGCACCACGACATTGTTTGCAGAGGTTCGCAAGGGTCATTATATTGATTATCGATGCATCTGATGGCAGCAACCACGGCAGTGTGGAGCCAACTGCATACGAATCACTCATGGTAGCTGTAGCGGCAACGCAAGCCATCTGTGTGTATCGCACTGCAACGGAGACAAACGGGGGCGGCCTCACCCCACCCCCAATCTGAAGAAATCTAGCGTCATCGTTAGAGTGGTCGCAACCGGCTGAAACAGTTTCTGTCAAAGCTTGTTTTTACCGGTTAAAGCCGGCTGGCAAATAAGCAAAATGACAGCAGAAGCTTGCATAAACTGAAAAAAACGCAGGAAGAGCAAACCATGTGGTAATTCATTGTGGCCATTGTAGCAGTTGGAGTACAATCATGGCTTAATTATAACATTGTTTCTGTTAGTACGGCCGGATACTAGCCACTTTCACAAAGCAATTGTGAACTGAAAATATTTAAATATGTGACGTTTTAAAACGTTTCTGTACATTGTTAGCACTTTGCAAAGCAAATGATTGTTTTTTTACAATTGCATTGGCATTTAATATCTAAAAAACGATATCAAACTTCTAACAAACTTATTGTACGAAACGAGGCTCTTTGCAAACATTTGTTTTTTCTACCCATGCTCTATTTCAGCCCATTCTGAGATAATACCAAACCTGACACCGGTGTGGAACGGTCAGTGGCTATGGATACTGGTCGCACCATGATTGCTTGTATCAATGTCGCGTGGTGTAGAGAACGGGGATTTGAAGATCATTTAATTCAAGAATTCATTGTGGACCGTGCTTCAGTCTACAAGCCTTGTAAGTACCGTATACCTATTAAAAAGAACGCAACCAAGATATAGGTACCTGTTTTGTCACATATTGGTCTGACATTTCACCAAATCCTTTTGAAAAGTCTCGTAAAGTTTTGGTAGATACAATCAGGAACAAACTGCCCTACAAGCACGATGCTGCTTTAAATAACGAAGCGCAACGTTATCAACTTACACGTCTTGACGAGCAAACAAACATGTTTTCAATCCCGTCAATGCACTTCTAGCAGAAAATCGCCAGTAAAAGTTGTAAAGTAAGAAAGCAAACACTGAAAACTTTTGGAACATTTCTGAAAACCTTTACATCGCGGTGGTTTGAATAGCGGCTAATATTAGGCCTTTCCAGATATTTTCAAGCAGCTGTACGGGGCAGCTGACTGCTCGACTGGACTCGGCATGCCAATTCTTAAAGCTCGGGAAAACTGCCAGCTAGACAATTCATGAGCTGCTACGTCTTAGCAGGTTTACATGGCAGATAGCCATCCATCCTGATCATGCCTCCGAATTCAGATTTTGAGACTTTTTACATTATGTAGTATATTACATATTATATATATACATATATATATATATATATATATATATATATATATCTAATAGTATACATAGCAATTTGCGAGAACACCCAAACTGTCACACAATCCGAACAACTCAAGCCTCTGTCAGATGTAATAAGACCACAACTTGGTTGAGCAGGAAAGTATTCTGCTCCACTTCAGACAGAAATGTTAATCTGTCCCTGGTCATCGGCACTCCAGGGAAGAGCGTAATAGTCAGGGCTACATGTTGTACACTTTCATTACAGGCATATGTGATACCATGCGGGTCATTTTGATGCTATGCACTCTAAACGGTGCAGGTAATCCGTGGACAACATGACAGTAAAGCTAAGCTAGTGCCAACCCGAGAATGTTTCCTCCACGGACGCACATGTGGGAGCGCTGCCACACTAGGGGTAGGGAGGGAGGAGGGGGGGGGGGGGGAGGGCAGGCGACTCCCGGGCATCTGTCCCACTACGGGGTCCAGATGCCACAGCCCCACTCTCGGTTAGACGCAAAGCACAAAGGTGCTCAGTTAGAGTCACTCCGCTCTCGCCACCGGAGCGCAGGTCCCGTGGCGACAGGATGGACTAACCTGTAGAACGGCGCTCCCGTGCTGTCCTTGTACCAGAGCATCAGCCTCATGACGTCACGTGATGCATCCGGCTCCACGTGGCAGGGCAGCTCGGCCACTCCGCCTGTCACAGCCGTGACGGGCGTCACCTGACCTGCCAGAGCGGGGCGGGGGCGGTCAGAGATCACGTGGCCAGTCGGGGCGGGACGGGGGCCGTCAGAGATCACCTGACCCATCGGCTCGGGGCGGGAGCTGTCAAAGGTCGCGTGGCCTGTCGAGTTGGGGTGGGGGCATCGGAGGTCGATTGATCTACCGAAGCGAGGTGGGGGCAGTAAGAGGTCCCCTGAGCTGCCGGAGCGGGGCGAGGGCAGTCAGAAGTATCCGACTTGTCGGGGCGGGCGGGGGTTGTCAACGGTCTCCCAGCCTGTCGGAGTGGGGCGGAGTAGTCAAAAGTTCCCTGACCTTCCGGAGAATGGCGGCATCAGTCAGAGGTCATTCAACCTGTCAGATCGGGACGGTGCCAGTCAGAGGTCAATTGATCTGCCAGAGCGGGGCACGGTTGATTGAGGGTCACCTGACCTGCCACAGTGGGAAAGGATCGGTTACCTCACCGCATGTGAGAGCACCTCATCTACTGAAGGGGTGTCCGGCACTCGCCATTTTGTGTTTCTCTTCTTCAACAGCGCTCGTGCTCCGCAAAGCCAAATGCCGCTTCGCTACACGAGAGCCTATAAATAGTCTGGGGTATCGCGCGGGGTATGCTAAAATGGTCTTTGATATTGCCTGGGGTATGCTAAAATGGTCCGTGGTATCGCATCGGGGCATGCCAAAATGGTCTGTGGTATCGCACGGGGTATGCTAAATTGGTATTTGGTAGTGGCCGGGGTATGCTAAAATGATCTGTGGTATCGCCCGGGAAAGCTGAAATGGCCTGTGGTATCGCGCGGGGTATGCCAAAATGGTCTGTGGTATCGCGCAGGGTGTGCTAAAATGGTCTTTGGTATTGCCCGGAGTATGCTAAAATGGTCTGTGTTATCGCATCGGGGTATGTCAAAATGGTCTGTGGTATCGCGTGGGGTATGCTAAAACGGTCTTTGGTATTGCTCGGGGTATGCTAAAATGATCTGTGATATTGCCCGGGTAAGCTGAAATGACCTGTGGTATCGCGCGGGGTATACTGCAATGGTCTGCGGTATCGCTCGGGATATGCCAAAATTATCTGTGGTATCGCCCGGGTATGCTAAAATGGTCTGTGGTATCGCCCGGGTCTGCTGAAATGGCCTGTGGTATCGCCCGGGTATGCTAAAATGGTCTGTGGTATCGCCCTCAGTATGCTAACGGGAAGCCCGGTCGAGCGGAGCTGATGCAGAAGCGTGGTTGCCGGCAGCGCAGTAGCTATTCGCCCAGTCTACCTCTGGGTCAGCATTGCGTGGCGCGAAATCATGTTGAGATCGGCAATGTGTCATAGTTTCAGCTTCGTCAGCATATACACATACAACCATTTTTCGAGTTATCGGAGCAGCACACTATAAGTAGACACCAAATACGATTTACATAGTTTGTCCCAACTCAACGACCGCTTCAATCTCTCTCAATGCCCATTTATATGTGGCTGAGGAAAGATAAGTCATTGTTTGCATATTTGAGGGGACTGTAAATCTACGGCTCGCTGCGGAGCACGATGTGTGATTCCTTATGACAGTAAATTACGTCGAGAATGGGCTTGCTTGACCTTGCAAACCTCGCGCTCTGAGTGGGGAAATTACTCAGAGGGTGTGCTGCAGAGGGCGTATTAGAGGCATGGGTAGGGTAGGGTGCAGCGGTTGAGCTGAGCGTCTGGGAAACGTGGTTCGATTATCCGCGGTGCCTGCCTCTCATATTAGGGTGATAGGCAGGCGACGCCATATGGCCTCAGCAGCTCAGTGCGTCTTGAATCGCTAATGTCCCGTCAGTGCCGTCATGACTTAAGGTGTGCTTTTGACTGGGTTCACACAGCTGTACCCAAACTGGCAACGGTCAAAATCAGCATGAATTGATGACAGTTAAAAGTGATTCAGTGATAATATGTCACGAGGTTTTTCCTTTGCTAGCTTTTAAATGACAGTCTAATTTGGAATGTTGAATTTTAGAGGATCCGGTCACGTCACGTGACAATGCGGCGGCTGCACTCGTCCAAATTTGGATTAACAAGAGCTGCGCTTGATAGCGGACAGTAGGAATCGAACTTTGGAAATGGCGCAGGAGAGCATGTAATGGTATGTTCCGTTAGCTGACCCACTCCAGTCCTGGCCCAGACATTTTGCATGATGCAGTTTCGACAAGGAAACGATGCAACCTTGAAGTTGTTTTTGTCTGCAATAATGAAGCATGTTTTGAACTGTCTTTCTTGTCCAATGACCAGGGGTGAAAAAAGCTTTTGATTTACTGGATATTAGTGGGTGAAAAAGACAGAGGCTTTGCGAGCCAGCTGGTGACAAAATTTTGAAAGCAATGACAAATTCCAACGGACAAGAACATATTATAACGGAAAATCCCAGCTAGATGAAACTCAAAACTTAATATTGGCTTGTACTCGTTAGCGCTCGCAGCTTAGCATGTGTGGAGCGCATGTCAAAACGCTGACGTTTCGCTATATGAGTAAGTTGAGCCATACAGTGCTGCCAAACATAGCAGCTTTAGTCAAAATAGTTGTCAGCAGGTGACAGATATACTACAAATTATACCATATCAGAGCTATTTTACAGATCACTGGTGGCACAGTGCTTTTCCAATACCCCTCAGATCAGTGCTTTCAGATCAGAGGTAAAAAGGGGACATTGGAGCGACACATCTCAAGAATTTATCTGGGGATTCCTGCTGCTGAGAGGAACACTCGGTGCACCTCAGAATTAGCGTACTGATCGGTGAACACACGTGAGATAAAACACTTTTAATTGTCATCATGTTGCATATAAAGCTAGATAAGGGTGTCAAGGGTGTTTCAAAATGTTGCTTGCATCTGATGATACCAATATTACATGGTGTTTGCTCCAAATGGTTAGGATCATGTTGGGAAGGGCGAGTTCTGCACCGGTAATAATTGTGCAAATAAAGCAAAGATCGCCCACGTTTCCAGCTGATTGTACGATGACGTCACAAAGCCAAGTGATATGGTCTCCGGGTGCTTTTAGAACCATTTTATCGGTAAATAGAGGGCTACGGAGACGCAGCTTTACAAAATACGTTGGGGTGAGGGAAGGAGGGAAGAAGGTGCTGAAGAACAAATGACTGAGCCTACCCCTAACATGCACTTTAATACAGTTTTCTCCTCAGATCTGACGCGATTTCTTTTTGCAGCTGGGAGCAGTGACGTAGGTAGTTTACCAACATCAGTTTCTTCTTTTTTTGGGGGGTGGCTGAACCAAAAACATATAAATAATGAAACATAATGGATAAAAATGATGCCTAAAGTAGGAATCTTCATCACTGGTTTGAAGGCACAATCCCCCCTTCCCTTACCTGAAATTAAAACATATAGCATGTAGACTGTTTATGTTAAACGGGGTGTGCCTTTTCGAGAGAGGATTCTTGACTGTGCACGTCGGGTGGTAGAGGGTTTCGATTTGCAAATTTCGGTGTCATTAGTTTTTAAAAACTTGCCTCCACTGACGATATATTGCCACAGCTCCCAACTTTCTTTGGTTTGTATGGAAGAGCAAAGTCATTGGGTGGCCCCCAAGCAATATTCACTACTAAAGACGTTGAAATTATTGAGAAGCTATTGTTAGCTCTACTCAATGGCTTCTCGAGGATGTCGATTGTCAGCGCTGACAGTAGCTTGCGAACGCGGCGATGGCGGCGGTCATTATGTCGCTTTTTGGTTACATTCAGCTGAGGGCTGCGAGTGTACAGGTTTACGCTTTTGGTAATGCTGGTCAGTTAATACACAACAATTCATGTCGGCCTACTATATACTGAGATGAGGAACAAGAACTGTGTCGTGTCAATCGGCTGCACCAGGTTTCGGGGAAATGTGACTGCTTTACGTTACCTAGCAACTAAAATAATGTCTACGTTGCCTAGCAACCAAAATAATGGCCATATCTCCAGCACACCGTTACTCGCCACAATAAGCCAATGCATTCTCCCTTTCTTGCTCGCCGATGGCTTATTTTTAAAATTGTTTTTGATCCTGCACAGTCATCGATGGGATCAATAAGAATAAATAAATCAAAACTGATGCAAGACCCAATTGCACTTTCAGCAACCAAAATTAGCCAGAGATAATTGTCAAACTTGCCTTAAGCGTGTATTGAAAAAACCGAAAACATTAGACGCACTCATTTCAACTGTGCCTTCATCTGATGACTTTGTTACTTTAGTCTCAACCATCAATTAGTGTTTGGTGACCAGCAAATGATGCATGAATGCAGTTGAGCTCCCGAGACGAAAACTCTTGGTAGCTAAGCTACGGTTTAGTTAATTTGTCGTGTTTTGTGGTTTGTCGCAATTAGAGTTGTGTTGCAATGGCTTCTGAAAGATTTGGCCGCAGGTGACAGTTTAGACGGTTCCAACTTTCGTCGGTGACAGAAAATATACTTTCTTCCCCCTGTCGGTGCCTAGCTCTCCCTGCCAAAGGAAGAGGTAGGTGACGTCACAGAGCCTCAGGAGGTGAGTGCGTCGTAAAGTCTCAAAGATAAGGAAAACTGTTTTGAGCCAGCCGAGCGAGGGCAAGACATTTCACAGTCCCTGGTAAAGAGCAGAAAGATACAGCGAAACGTCCATAAGTAATCTTTAAAGTAGGCATCTCATTTTGCTTCTTCCCTGCCGCCAATAGCTAGAAAATCAACGTCCATCTAAGTATCGGTTGTCAGTTATGTTTTTTTTTCATTCAAAGACATCCTTGACGCCCATAGACTTTGAAAGAGAACTTAACAGATGGGATCCCCATTAGACAGCACTTCAGAATATGCCGGAACATGTTCTACCGCACATGTTAATAACTTTTACACGGCTGGCGGCTAGCGTTTGTATTGTATATTACAACATAATCATTAATATCACATCACGTTATGCATCTCTCCATTTCAAAGGGCCAGTCTCAGCTCCCTTTAAGTCAGGATTCAGTCCCATTTGGGCTGGTGTTTTCCTGAATTTTTGTCGCTATAGCGCTTC